GGGTTTAACGGCAGCTGGCATCCTTGTACATGCAGTGCTGCCATCTTCTGTTTCAGTCCGTTATTACACTCTTAAATCCTGCTACTTATTCCTGCGTCTTTTTGGGATCTTACAAAGCTTCAAACGACGCGTCGACGATTAAATCAGCCGTCGACAATTTTGATAGTCGACGTAATCGTGGCAGCCCTATTAGACAACCATGGGATTTTCTCGGATCTCTCGGAGTAAATTTTGTAGCTGTGCCACAGTTTATTCCAGCACGGACTGACGGACAAATCAAACACACAGAGCAATGAAAACGGTCTGTAATCAGTGACCCATAAAAAATAACCTGAGACAGCCCGAGACTCAAAGTTTATTTATTACTCAGAATATTAATTGAATTGAATTGAATTGAATTGAATTGAATTGAATTGAATTGAATGAATGCTTTATTGGCCATATGCAGGTTGCCCCGCAGAGGAATAGGACCCCCCCCAATTTACACACACAACAAAGACATCACATTAAACAGTGTGTGTTGACATTTCATTGTTTGTCTGCAGTGAAACAAAACATTTACTGGCCCTGAGTGTTTGTTACTGGACCTGTTTAGATTAAGGTTCAGTTAAACGCCTGTTTCATTCTGCGTGTTACGTGTTTCCAGCTTTGCTCCATCACACACAAAGATTAAGCTTCTTAAATAACAATCAGCACACAAACCAAAATAAATCAGGAGGGAAGCCAGCTCCTCCATGAGCACAGATGGCTGATTCACTCTGAATCGCATTTATTTACTCCAAACTCTAAATAGCTTTCGTTAACCTCAGAGCAGGTCACCTGCAGACTGAGTGGTGCCCGTTTCCTCTGTGCAGGTTTCGGGGGGGTCTGGATGTGTCTCACGGTCAGACGGGGTCTCAGTCCATCTACACGGTCCACCGGCAGCAGGAGATCATGTTCCACGTGTCCACCAAACTGCCCTTCACTGAGGGAGACGCCCAGCAGGTAGGCGGCATGAAGATGGCGTGACAGAGAAACAAAACACAGAATGAGTCAGCGTGAAACAGGAGGACGGGCTGCGACTCAGCAGCAGCAGCAGACGGTTTGGCAGGCTGGCTCCGTGTGAAGCAGACGCCTGCAGCAGGAAGGGATGCTCGTCATCACGTGACCCTGTGTCTGCACAATCACAGCATCTCAGTCTACACTAGAGATGGGCAGTAACGCGTTACTTGTAATTACTGTAATCTGATTACTTTTTTCAAGTAACGAGTAAAGTAAGGGATTACTATTGCAAAAACGGTAATTAGATTACCGTTACTTTCCCGTAGGAACGCTGCGTTACTGCGTTACTAAAACCGTGATTTTTTTGCGAGAATGTCTCACGACAGTGACGTAAGCGAGTGCGACGTTCGTGACAACAGCTGTGTGCAGATCAACAATGGATCACATATCGAGTGCAGAGAGAGTATGAGCGTGCAGCGTTTAAAGCGTGGAAGTACTGACCTTACTTTGAGTTTGATTCCATAAAAAGTGACAAAAACATTAGTGTCCGCTGTGCGTGGGAAGAAAACTTCTTTTTACAGCGAAAAAACACCCTAAACTTCCAACAAGCACCGAGTAGCTACGACGTAATGGGAAACTCACAGAGAAACTCGCGGATTCTTCCACTGACCGCGGCACACCTGCACCAGGGTAAACCTCCGCCTACCGACTCCTGCTTTACAGGTGAAAATAGAGCAACAGGACCGCTGAGTCTTTGACTTTATTTATTTTCTGCTGTGTTTTACTTGCATCTATTTGAAAGATGAGTGTAAACACAAAAAATATTTTATTTTATGTGCTGGAATGTGCAGAAAATAGGTTTAAATGTTAAACTAATTTTTCACAGTCAGAGAATGTTGCATATATATTAAATTTTTGCTTGATGCATAAAGTTAAAAGATTAAAACTAGAAAAACAAGGCTGAAAGATCTATCGCTTTATCACCTCTTCAGGTTGTAAATAGTGTTTTTAAAAAGTAACTAAGTAACTAAGTAACTAAGTAATTAATTACTTTTGAAAATAAGTAATCAGTAAAGTAACTGGATTACTTTTTTGGGGAAGTAATCAGTAATTAGTTACTGATTACTTTTTTCAAGTAACTTGACCAACACTGGTCTACACCAACAGCACAAACAGGTGAAGCTAGCAGCTACAGGGGACATGATCTAGAGCCAAAAATGGTTTTATTTATTTATTTAGTATCAGCCTGTAAACGTGTTTGTTGCTGCTGTAAAGTTTGAACATGTGAGCGACTCACTGCGAGAGCCTCTGCTGGACGTCAGAGGAACTGCAGCTGTTGATGCTTCAGTGTTTGCACCTGCTTGCATCCAAACACAGCGTGTTCAGTCAGACTGTTGATCACTGACTGACAGTTTGTCTTGTAACAGTGTGACAGAAGCACTTTGAAGTTGTTGCTGCGCTTCATTAACTTTATGAGCCGTCACGACTGCACGTAACAGCATCACTCTGTCCTTCAGCTGCAGAGGAAACGGCACATCGGAAATGACATCGTGGCGCTGGTTTTTCAAGAAGAGGCCACCCCTTTCGTCCCCGACATGATCGCCTCCAACTTCCTCCACGCCTTCATCGTGGTGCAGGCGGAGGAGCCGTGCTCTGAGACCACCTCCTACAAGGTACACGCCGGCTTCCTTTTCTCCACGATGGAGGTTTTTTATAGATTAGACTCTGTCGCCTGTGAGGTTCATGGCGTCAGATGCAGTTTAATCTGGGAATCAAAGACGAGCTTTAATCTGAATTCACAGCAACAAACCCAAATCCTCGTGGTGGCTGAAGATTTCTCTTTCAGCCTCTGAAACATGACAACAACGGAGATGAAGCCTCACACCAGAGGCTCCTCCTTCTCTTACTGAGGAGAGGAAGCGTCTCTATTATTGCTCATAGCTGGGTGGGTTTGCGTGGGTGGGGATCAGACACAGATCTGCCTGTTTCACTCCACCAGTTACAACAGCTGTTCTGACTGACAGGTTTCCGTCACAGCGCGAGAGGACGTCCCACCCTTTGGCCCGCCCCTCCCCGCCCCTGTCTTTAAAAAGGTGAGGCTGTCGGACTTTTCATGGGAACGTGAGGCTGATCTGAGAGCTGTGGTTAAGTCTGCTGCGTTTTGTACTTCAGGGTCCAGAGTTCAGAGAGTTTCTTCTCACCAAACTCATCAACGCAGAGCTGGCCTGCTACAAGAGCGACCGCTTCGCCCGACTCGAGGTAGAAAGAGCTGCAGGCCGTCCCCCAGAGTCACAACCACACCATGTGTCTAATAAGACAGACGCAGTGACGCAATCACAGTAACAGATTTCAGTACTGAGCTCATGATGTGACAGGAAGTATTTAATTACCGGGCGTTAGTTCCTTGTATTCATATGAACCTACAAACACATGAAGGCAGGACCAGCAGAATAAAGAGAAACACGTCCGCTTCTACAGGAAGCAAAGGAATAATTATGTTGCAGGTAAACTCCTGCAGTGCGTCTGTCATTTCGCTGCACTGTTCAGACTGCGAGCGTACTTGATGGACGCTCGAGTGATTTGTTTTGGTTTCGATTATAAGTGACAGTAGAGAAAAATGATTCATATTAAACATAAAGTCAGTGATGTTGCAGAGAAGCCTGACACTCTAAAAGCTGCTCGCCTGTGCAGAAGATCTGCGACACCTCCTGAACTTTAGAGAAATAACACAGCGAGGACATGAGGGGTTTCATGATTCTTTGCGTCTCCGTCAGGAGCGAACCCGCGCCGCCCTCCTGGACAGCCTCCACGACGAGCTGCAGAGACGCTCCCAGAGCATGCTGGGATTGACGTCAGGGCCGGAGGAGGAGGGCCGAGGGGAGAACGGACAGGCCCACGGAGGACTGCTGGAGTCCATCAAGGTGAATGTTGACCTTTCCTCCTGTCGTCGTCTTCTTCTCCTGCTTTGAAATGATGGTTTGATGGGACGCTCCAGAACCAATCCAACTCACATACCTCCACCGAGGAAAGTAGTCCCACTTTACAAGCAGTAAAAGCTGTAATGTGAATGTTAGTGTGTCAGCAGCGTGTTTTAGACTGGAGCTACTGTCAGTGACGCCGGACTCTTACCTCAGCACGTGATCTGTCACTATTACAGTTTTATTTCCCAGTTTTTGGTCCACGTAAATGTGTTTGACAAAGTAATAGACATGTTATATAGAGCATGTTATATTTTCCCTCATCAATGAATTATGAAGTAAATTTATTTCTTTTTTATTTACTTTATGGAACTTGTGCATTTTTCCATCCAACTTTCAGTGATAGTGAAGTTAAAGCCGTGCAGTCTTTATCCACAACATTATGTTTAATTAGTAAGAAAATCATTTTTACAACAACAAAGAAATATTTATTAGGAAAAACATGAATTTCATAGCCAGTAAAAGCAGAGATAAGGTTTTGTTGAAGTTGCAAACAGCTGCTTTCTGTATTAGAGTCACAGTCACACTGTGGAGATAGCTACAGCTTTTATTCTGAAAGGCAAGGGCAGGAAGAAGCCAAATCTTTTTCCATTTCAGAGGGCGATGCGAGGGAGGAGCGTCTCCATGGAGACCATGTCGAGGGGCGGGGTTGGACTGCCCACCAGTTTGAGTGGGGGGGGTCTGGCACACCTGAACGTGGAGGTGAGTCGTTCTGCAGGTAACTGAAGGAGCAGGTTGAACCCCGCTCCTCTGTGAGCGGCCCCCGTTGACACCTGGACTCTTTGCGTTGGCAGTGTAACGTCAAGTCTCCCGTGAAGCGGCGCTCGGGACTTTTTCCTCGCCTGCTGAGCGTCGACAGCCAAACAGAGAAGCACAGCCAGAGGAGGTAACGCTGCCCAACGTGCCTCTCAGTTTGTTTACCTGGACAGTAAAGTTCAAACCCACCAGTGTGCATGTCAGCACGGCTGCACAGGTGGGGGTGCACCTTCAGGAGAGCTGGTCTCGACAGGTGTGCTGTGTACTGCTGAGCTAACAGCTTTAACCTGCCTCCAGGACATTAACCCCGCCTCCTCCTGTCTCTGATACGCCTCCTCAGCCTCCTCGGTGAGCAGAGGAGCTTCGACGGCTGCAACCCGATGCTGGAGGTGAGGCCAGAGCTGCCGTCCAACCCTAGCTCTCCAGAGGCGGGGCAGCGGGACAGGTGTGTGCAGCAGAAGCAGCAGCAAGTGAAAGAAGCAGATGTTTCAGTTTTCACTGCGAAACAATAAACTTCATCACTTTTTCACTTTCACGGGCAGGATTCACACGAAGAAGGAGAGCAGTAAGATTTCCAGGTCGACATCCAGCACCTGCAGCTTCAGCATCCCAGCTGACGACACACACCTGGTGAGAAAACACGCTCAGCGCTACATTCAGCTCAGTGTTATTTAGGGCGCCTTGCATTGTAACGCAGACCCTCATCACTGCGTCCTCTCTGTGTCTGTGCGTGTCCAGGCTGCGACGGTAGAAGGTCAGAGTTCAGCTCCGGTCATCGTGTGCCGCAGCCCCACAGGTGCGACGCCCGCTCACCGCCAGCGTTTCTGTTCTGGAGCCGTTCTCACGTCTCGTTTACTCTCTCCTCTCTCAGAGCTGAGAAACAAGAACTCGCCCAGATCCAACCTGAAGTTTCGCTTCGACAAGCTGAGCCACTCCGCCGCAGTAAGTCTGTGTGACAGCCAATCAGCACGCTCGCTGTTTACCTGGATATGCAGCTGATTGGGCTGCACGACTCTCAGGACGTCACTGCTGTTTTTAATTTTTGTTCAGTGTGATTTTTCAAGTATGTTCTGTGTAATCTGATTACTGAGTGTGAAACCTTCCTTCCGTCTGCAGCAGGGACACTGAGCTGACAGGACGGCGCTGACAGGTGTGTGCTTTCCCAGAAGTCTGCTTTTCAATCCCATTTTTCAAAGTGCTGCTTCTGTCACTCTGTTCTGCTTCTGAGTCTACTTCCTGCTTTATTTTGAAAGTTAGTTCTTCCTGTAGCATCCTATGTTTTACTTCCTGTCTTTGTTGGCTCATGTTCACACTTTCTGGGCCGTGATGTGAGTGACTCTCTGAGCTGGGTTGTATGTGTTCTCCTTTTTCTCTCGCTGCTTTCCAGAATAAAAGCCTGAAGCTTCAAACAGACAGCAGGAGGAGGAGGAGGAAGAGGAGGGTCTCCTGATAGACCACCACACACACATACTTGTCTTTCTGTCTTTGTGAGGACCCCGAGTGCAGCTCTCCTGTTTGTTTGTTTTCTTCTCATCTTCTGCACAAACCATAAAATCATTTCTGAACATAAACGTATGTGTGCGCAGGACACTGAACTTCTTTTTAAACCGTTCTACAGTCAAACTCGAAGCAGAGCTCTTCCTGTTTTGCGCTTCATTCAGTGTAAGATGTAGCTGTAGAAACTTTATTTATCACAGAAACAGCAGCAGCTCTTAAAACTTTACTTTAATGAGCAGTTTGGTTTACGTGGAAACAAACTGATGATGAGTAGCTCCAAACACCAGGGGGCGCTGCAGAGAGGGGCTGAGATTCCACCCAAAGGACCAGGACCCGCAGCTAAGCTTCCCTGAGGGGCAGCGGTTGATGCCCCTCTCCCCAAACACCGCTGAGGTGCTCGCGTCCAGCTGGGAGACGTCCTCTCTCCAAGTATTTCAACCAAAACAAGAAAAACAAAAACACCACGGGAGCTCAAAGTTTGGGGATTCACTCGTATCAGCGGCAACCACAAGAACTGTAACGCCCCGCCCCCTGTCTCCCTGTGAGATGATTGGTCCTCAGTGCCGTTTAGTCTTTTTGTCAACCGGCGCGTGCTGGTCCCCCGAAGGTGCCTGGTCCTGGAGGAGAGCTCCTGCGGTGGACGCGAGGCCTTTATCACCCTAAAGTTTGTGACTCTGATGGTTTCTCAACACAGACGCTGTGTGACATCATAAAGATCCAAGTACAGAAAAACTGCGGTAAAGCTCGTAATTAGAAATGTTACGTTTGTTACGAACGCTCACCGCGTGAACGGGGAGGAGGAGCTGCTCGATCTGCGCGTCTGTGGGATTTATTCTTATTAATAACAAGTAATAACACGTGCTGCGGGTTCAGATTCAGACAGACGCTGCCGTTCTCCACGCACACTGTCACGTCGTGAGCTCCACCTGAACCTTTTTTAAACTGCTGCGGCACACAGCGGCTGAGCGACGGGGCTCAGGTGGGCGGTGCTGCAGGTGAGACAGAGGTGGAGCTGCTGGAGGTCAGGGAGAAGAAGAAGCTTTGCGCTCCCTCTCTGAGGGACAATCGCACCAATTACGTTGAGTCTCGAGGTCACTCACTCCACTGGAAGCTGCGCAGCTACAGGAGTTCAGGTTTTCAAAATAAAAGCTGTGGTTTGTTTTAAAAGAGGGACGATGATGCAGCATGAACACAAAGATGTCTGCATGTGTTTCTGATGTCATAAAGTGTGTGTGCGTGCGTGCGTGTGTGTGTGTGATGTAAAGCATGAATCTGTAAAACTGAACATTTCACAAATAAAAATCAGCTTCTTTCAGTGTTTATTGTTGTTTTTGTCGTGTCATTCTCTCCCAACATTAAAGCGGATTATTTTTCGTCTCAGTGGGTTTTTACTTTTGTATTTTTTTTTACTGAAGACACGCTTTAGCTGCAGAAGTCATTTTTGTCTGCAGCTACAAACTACTGTGCATGTCGTGTTCATGCACAGCTGGAGCCTCAGAGCCAGATGCTGGTTCAAAGCATTGAAAAAGGTTGATTGTCCTTTTGTGAAAGAACAAAAAACTAACAAATAATTAGTTGTTAGTTGTTCTTCTCTGTGTTTATTTGTGTATTTGTGTGTCTGAGTATCTGTTATAAAACAATTAAAGCAAATAAATATGGAACTTTATAAATAAGAGAGAAAATTATTGTTTAACTGAGAGATGAATAAATGTTTTTATACTGCGTTTTCATTAGTTTCTATTTCTGTCACAGCCTTGTGTTTATTTCTGATAATGTTTTACTCTGTTATCATGCTTACCTGTTTATTAATTAGTTTGTACTTTTTTATTTAGAATTTTCAGACATTGTGCAGTACACTTCAGCCCTGTTATATTTAGGACTGTTTACATTTATTAAAAACATTTTTACATGTTCTACTATATCGTCTGTGACGCTGTTAGCGTGTCTGTTGTTCAGCACCGCCATCTGCTGAGCGTGACATCACGTTTTACCCTTAAAAACCACAAGGGGCGGAAGAGCTCTGGTGCGCCGCCTGCAGGCCGCAGAAGAAGTCGTAGTTACCGTTTCCGGGTCAGCCCAGAGCCGCAGCGCTAGCGGCCGTTGTTAGCTGCTTGGTTAGCACCATGGCGGCAGTACGCAGCTTGCGGGTCTCGGTGAAATCAGACAGCGGCTCTGACCGCTCGGACTCCGATTCCGAGTCGGATAGAGATGCCCGCGAAGCCGAGCCAATGGAGGTGGAGGAGGGAGAGCTGGAGCCCGAGGACATCTCCGTTAACCGCTCTCTGAAGGAGCTGCTGCCGGTAAGCCCGGACTAGGCCCCGGCACTCCGGGGACTGGCGTCTCCGTCGCCCGGCAGATCCGCAGGAAGTGTCGGCTAGCGGTTACTTGGACTCCCGGCTCTCTCCCCGGGAGTCAGGCGTCCGCCCCGTGCTGTGGGGGCTGCCGATGAGCGGCGGGGGCCTCGCGTTAACCGGGGCTGGTTTACGTTTTCGACATGTTTGCGGGGTTCGTGTTTATTTCAGTCACTTGTTGCTGTGTTCACGTGCTGTTTGTGTGGAGCGCACGTCCCACCAAACTCTACTTAAAAAACATCGAATTTAAGATGTTTACGTGTAAACTCAGAGTGCTCAACTATTTCAGCAGGTATGCGCATACCGAACTGTTCTGCTTTCTTCTAAGCGTGAACCTGGGTTTCATTAGTCTTCCTTTGTTATTTACTCTTCCTGCTAGTATAGAGTGGCCCTGCCACCAAACCTCAGCTAAAACTAGGAAGTTTAACGCTTTTACGTGCAGAAAAATGCAAAACGGGGAGAGTTATTCTATTTTTTTAGAATTGAGTAGTTTTTATACCTTCACGGGTGTTTCCTCCCCTGCCAGCACACAGACAGTATCCAGAGCAGTTCATCAGCTGGAGAAATGAAAGTTTTCTTCTTGTGTGAAAGTCGCGTTAGAGTTGCTCTGGAGGCCTGTGTGGCTGCTGCTGTGGACTTCATGCAGCCTGTGTTTCTCATGTGTTTACAGTCACTTTGTAATGTTGCTGAGGCAAACCAACAGAAATGGCTCAAAGGGAAAGTGAAACCGTGGCCTCCACTGCTGTCTGTCTGTTTCACAGGACACCAGTCGGCGGTATGAGAACAAGGCCGGAGCCTTCATCACTGGAATCGACGTCAACTCTAAGGTAAACCTTCAGAGTGTGGCCGGGTGTAGGCTGCTGCAAAGTGTTTCTCACTGTGGGTGATATTAGTGAAGTACATGCAAGAGTCTGAGCGCCTGTGGGGTCAGGACACATGTGTGGGACCTTTCCAAAGGTCACCATGACCTGATGATGTCAGGTAAAGAGTGATAGCTGAGTGGGAAGCGCAGGGTTCCAACTCATCTGACTACTCGAGTTCTTTCCTTTTTCCTTCCTTGTCAGGAGGCGATCGAAAGGAAAGAGAAGCGAGCGCAGCGTTTCCATTTTCACGGGGAAGAGAAGGTCAGCCAGCGCAACGTTTTCCTGGATAAAGACGCCATGAAAAAAGGTACGTGTCCTCTGTGACTGTCAGCAGGCAGAGACAACCTTTTCCTGATCGGGAGCTAGTTTAACATGTCGTCGTCGTCTTCTTCTTCTGTGGTGCCCAGCCATCCCCCAGCTGCGCATGGAGGCAATCCATGTGATGGGCGTGGACGACATGAGCACGCAGGACGTCTTCGGGTACTTTAAAGAGTATCCTCCGGCTCACATCGAGTGGATCGATGACACTTCCTGTGAGTACGGCGTGCAGACAGAAGAGCCGGGCTCATGAACCTGCTGCACGGGGGCGGGGCATGTGACTCTCCCAGCCAATCACAGCTCGGGTCAAACCCTGTTCTCACCACCTGATGGTTTCCTAGGTAACGTGGTATGGCTAGATGATGACACCCCCATTCGAGCGCTCATCAACACAAGCCGGATGCCCGACTCGGAGACTGTTACCACGGAGACGGGGGGCTCCAGCCAGCCGGGTGAGCAGAGCAAAGGTGAGGGCGAGTACTGTAGGGGAAAAGCACCAGAAGCCGCAGGGCATTGTGGGTAAATGTTACAATGTCGCAGGTCGGCGAGGTCAAGGATCAGATGACGAGGAAGATGAAGAGGAGGAGGGCGAGGTAGACGAAGGTGGAGAGGAAACGGCGAAGAAGCGCAGCGAGGACATTGAGGGGAAAGATGGCGACGCAGAGACGAAGACGAATTCTGAGGGCAGACAGGTAGGACGCCGTCTGACCAATCAGCTTCACTGACCAGTGCCCAAAAGTGATCGATGATGTCATCGGCTGTGTGTGCGCAGGACGACCTGTCGCGGGCGGAGAGGGCGTCCCTGCTGAGGAACGACCTGCGGCCCGCCATCAAACCCTTCAAAGGAAACAAGCTGCTGCTAGAGAGATCAACTCACACCTCTCACACACACTCACACACACTACACTCACACACTCACTACTCTCACACCTCTCACTCACACTCTCACCCATCACACCACTCCACACACTCACACATCTCACCAAACTCACACTCTACTACACCTCACTCACACCTCACACACCTACATCCATCACAAACTCACTCACACCAACCTCTCACTCCACACATCACACACTCACACTCTACACATCACACACATCAACAAAACCTCACACTCT